AAATGGCTGACTTCCTGTGATTCTTGCACTATGACATTAATTGTAAATTTTGAGCGTCCTGGGGAGCTCTACAAGTGTACCAAATTTCATGTCTCTAGGATAAAGTAAGTGAATAGCAAAGGGTCCTTAGAAAATTTCTAGGTGGCGCTATTGAGCCATTTCTTGTGGGATTTTTGTGATGACCTTAAAAATCAAAATTTTTAAACAGGCTTAAGGCCTCCGCCAAGTTTGGTGAGTTTTCCAATATGATAAGGCCCCAAAAAGCCCCCCAAAGAGGTGGGAAGAAAAATAATAATAATAATAATAATAATAATAATAAACAGTACAGAAACAATAGGCCTTCGCAGCGCTTAGCTGCTCGGGCCTAATAAAATAAAATAGAATAGAATAGAATAGAATAGAATAGAATAGAATAGAATAGAACAGAACAGAATAGAATAGAATAGAACAGAACAGAACAGAATAGAATAGAATAGAATAGAATAGAATAGAATAGAACAGAATAGAATAGAATAGAATAGAATAGAATAGAACAGAACAGAACAGAATAGAACAGAATAGAATAGAACAGAATAGAATAGAACAGAACAGAATAGAATAGAATAGAATAGAATAGAATAGAATAGAATAGAATAGAATAGAATAGAATAAAATAGAACAGAACAGAATAGAATAGAATAGAATAGAATAGAATAGAATAGAATAAAATAGAATAGAACAGAATAGAATAGAATAAAATAGAACAGAACAGAATAGAACAGAACAGAATAGAATAGAATAGAATAGAATAGAATAGAATAGCATTTATTGTCATTGAACAGGATTCAACAAAATTTCTATTGCAACTCCCGTGCAAAAAGTCAAAATATACAATATTAAATAAACAAACACACAATAATAATAATATATACAACTAAAATTAACTAAAGGCACTCAACCACACCAAAGAAGAAGCAACAGGTCCAATTATGGTAAAGTGCAGATAATGTGACAGTGCAAGTGCAGAACAATATGGCTGTGTGGGGGTTGGGGTGTGGGGGGGGGGGTGTATGTGAGGTTATGATATGTGTGGGAGGGGGCGGCAGGGAGTAATGGCTCTGACGGCTGTGGGGAAGAAACTGTTTCTCAGTCTGTTTGTTGTAGTCCGTATATTCCTGAACCGCTGGCCTGATGGCAGCGGCACAAACAGACTGTGGCCCGGGTGGCTGGAATCCATGGCTATGGATCCAGCTCTCTTCTTGACCCGGCCTATGTAAATAGAGTCCAGGTCCGGGAGGGGGCATCCCACAATGCCTTGTGCTGTTCTCACCACCCGTGTCAGTTGTTTCCTCTCCAGTGCTGTGCAGCCACCGTACCACACAGTCACGTTGAGGCAGAGGACGCTCTCGATTGTCGCCCTGTAAAAGTTCACGAGCAGCCGTGAGGAAAGTCCAGCCCGTCTCAGTTTCCTGAGGAAGAAGAGCCTTTGTTGTGCTTTCTTCACCAGGTGGGAGGTGTTTGTATTCCAGGAGAGGTCAGATGTGATGTGGAGGCCCAGGAACTTGATGCTGTCCACACGCTCCACCTCTTCTCCATCTATGAGAAGGGGAGTGTGACCCGTCCTCCTGGACCTTCTGTAGTCCACAATGACCTCCTTGGTCTTCCCTGTGTTCAGCACCAAGTTATTGGCTGAACACCACTGAGTGAGCTGCAGAATCTCCTCTCTGTAGTGGGTCTCGTTGTTGTCTGAAATGAGACCCACTACTGTTGTGTCGTCTGCGAACTTGACGACTGTGTTGGTGGGGTGGATGGCAACGCAGTCGTGTGTAAACAGGGTGAAGAGAGCTGGGCTGAGCACACAGCCCTGCGGTGTGCCTGTGTTGAGGACCAGTGGGGACGATGTTGAGCCACCTATATTCCAGATTCTGGAGAAAAAACACTTTTATTCTTCAGAGGATCTGAAATAAATTGGGAGAAAGTTATAAAGTGATTTATGGATGCATTCTGAGGTGAAACCAGGTTCTGATCCAGGTTCTGGTTCTGGAAACAGATTTCAGCTCCAAATCTTCTGTTTTATTTATTTGACTGAAATTTTTCTTTTCAGATATTTTAGGTTTTTTTGTGGGACAAAAATGTGAATAAAATGAAAGACTCAGTGTGAGGTGAGAGTGAGGCGGGTCCAGATGGTCCAGATGAAGGTTCTGGTGACCGTCGCCACGCAGGAAGCAGTTCCAGCAGATTTGGTTTCAGCAGTTTGTTTTATTCTGACTGAAAACCTTTTCTGTAAAGTGAAACTTCTTGAATGTTTTGTCCGTAAGTCGTGAAATGATTTTGTGACCCGACTGCAGGAAAGTCCAGGACGTTTATGAAGAGCTGTGGCTCGGTAACCTGCCGCTTCCTTCCTGCAGCACATGCAGCGCGGCGACCTGCAGGCCGACGACTACATGGCCTTCATGCTGCAGGACGTCCTGTACCTGCTGAACGTGACGGACATGTTGGGCCGGATGAGCCGCAGGCCGCTTCCCGACGACCTGAAGACCTTCATGCGGGATCGCTACCAGAACTACCAGAACTTCTCCGACTACATTCTGGACCGGTTCAAGCTCAAAGTGAGGAGGTTTTCCTCAGGGTGGAGAAACTTGGGCGGGTTCTGGTCCTGAACTTCTGTTTGCTGCTCTGCCAGGCGCCGCTGGACATCAGACCCATCCCGGCCATGGAGCGGTACCTGCTGGACTACAGAACCATCATGGACAAGGAGGAGCCCATCTTCTTCGCCGTGAGTCTGCTGCCCTGCTCCAGGCTGTGGATCTGGATCGCCAACAGCCTGGAGGAAAGCTACTGCAACGCCTACGTCGTCTGGAAGAAGGGCAACATGCACGGCGACCCGGAGAAGCACTACAAGGTTCTGCTCAACAAGAACCTGAAGACGCCGGCCCAGATTAAACGGGCCAACCAGATCTTCAGGCAGCAGATGCAGAACGAGCAAAACTTCTTCGCCGCTTCGCTGGTGGAGTAGAGCGAAGTCTGGTACCAGAACCGGAACCGGTTTCACTAGCAGAGTGAGTTCTCTGGTACCGGAACCGGTTCATCACAGTGGAGGTCCAGAAGATCCAGTTGGATCAGGACAAACAGCAGAGAAAGAATATTAAAGTAGCTCCAGCTGTTATGATATTTATCAATCTGAATAAATAAAGTTTCAAGAGTTTGTCATTTCCTGAGTATCAGAAACTCGGCAGAGTTTAAGTTGAAGCTCATGTTTCATCGTCATCGTGTCGCTTCAGGTGATGAAGATGAGATTCTATCAGAACACAGGAAACTGGAGACAAACTTATAATTATCTTGCAACCCAGAAAAGGAATTGGAACAAAGTTAGAGAAACTAGAGAAGCGACTCGTTATTTTAGATCAACATTCAGGATCATCAAACATCCAGTTGGATCAAGTCATGAATCCAGAGATTTTCTCTCACTGAACATGAGGAACCAATAAGTAGTTCTTGACTGTTTTCTCTTGCTTCTCTTTTGTTTGTATTTCCTTTAACTCATTTAACTCTGAGTAATAAAATTACTTTATAATAATATTTAATCAACTTGAATGTTTGTCAGTCTTTTGATTTGGTATTTTCTCCACATTTAGGATTTCTGATCAGAGTCTTTGATAAAGAAGAAATGAATGTTTGCAAACCGCTGATGGAAACATGGCTGCCAAATGCAACTAAATGCACTGGAAAAAAATCTAATCTGTGTGGAACAGATCAGCTTGAGACTCTGGTTGATTCTTGCAGGTTGGGGAACAAAATAAACCCAACACAAAGACACAAATTACTTTTCCGCAGAAAAGGGGAGAAGAGCCCGACGCGGAGAGAACCGCTGCCAAACGCTGAGGTCAACTCCGTCGGCTCTCAGTCCCCAACTAACTTTTATTATCATGTGAATAAAAAGAGGTTGGCTTGTCTCACTCAGACATGCAAACAATTGACCAATACTCTTTCCTCCAGGATGTTCTGGAAGTCTTCCGTTGATGTCCCATCGTCTCAGGATACAGATAAAGATCATTGTGGCTCGTAACACAGAAATGTGAGACATTTCCAACCCTCAAGAGAAAACCCTAAAAGACAGTTAAGAATAAACAATAAAGGAAAGAAAACAACACACAGAATAATATGAAAACATAACCATTCAAATAAAGGTAAATGAACTAAGATAATAATTTTCCTAACACTGGCAAAGAGCAAAATTCTTGTATTTCTGTGTCGTTTGCAAACGGAGAGAACAGCAACCACAGCACAGCAGCTGAACCTGCAATGAGTTCTGACTTGGAGCTGCAAGTCTCACCATATATAGGATTCTTTACCCAATGTGGTCACTCACTGACCCAGAGCCAGTTGAACAGGTTTACTGCCCAGTCATGGAGCCACAGGATGGACAGGACGCGTCTCTCCTTACTGAAAGGTCAGTTCATTATTTAGATGATAAACATCTCGTTCAAAATACGGGAGTTTTCAAAAATTAGGATGCTGATGGAACAATTTTCCATAAAAAACATTGTCAGACCTTATAGTACATTCTCTGAGCTTCTGACATTTAATGGAGAAATTTGTTCGGGTTTATTCCATCTTACTGTATTTACCTAAACTGTCTGTTAAACTCTGGCGCTTTGCTTTGGACTAATGTGGTGAGACATTAGTCCACTCATCAGTCTGCTGTAGAGAGGAAACCGATCTGACTGAGCAATACTAAGATGGTTAAATGAGTAAAATCCAGGAATTCAACTGAAAATGGTTTTACTGAGATCTGGATGTAACAGATTTGATTTATTAGCTACAGAGAAAACGAGGGTGAATAAATGGTAATAAATAATAAACAGTCTTTATTAAAAAGAATTGCTTCTACTGAACAATGAACAAGGTTTATTTAATGCATTTAAAATGATTTAATGCAAACTGTGTATAATAAAACATTAATAAAACATCCATCTTGCAGGATTAGAATGTATTTATAATGTGTGAGAAAACACCAAAAATAAGACAAACACTTTATTTCATAAAGAATTTGATCAAACTTCAGGATGCAACAGGCAGATTTTTTCAATTTATCAATTAAAATTGGTTCAGAAGCAGAAGTGTACCAAAACTAATTAAAAAGAACCTGAGTCCAACAGGCTTTTATTTTGAAACTGTTTCAAAGATGGCCGCCCTGTCAGCGACAATAGGCTAGAGCCGTGCATGACGCGTCTACTCTTCATTATGTCTGTGGCACAAACCCTAACCCATACAGAAAAAAGTAGATTTCATCAAAAAATAAAAGAATTTAAATTTGGAATCTGAATTACACATCAGGACTGACTGTGTGAACGTAGCCTGAGACATTGGGAGAAGTCAAATGTTGGGACATTACTCTGTCCAGTTTTCAGCAGTACTAATTCCTGTTGCTGATTTTGCAGTGACCTGCTGCAGGGAACCAGGAAAACCTAAATTGTAGTTTTAGCTCCACGTCTCCTACGAATCAAGTGGAATTCATATTCTTGCGAGCCGTCTCAATCACAGCGATTATTGTGATTATTGTATGAATGCGAAGGCATTCATACAATAAATTACTGTATGAACACACTAAAGATTGTGAGCTACATCGTAGCCATAAGCAGTCTGACAGAAGGGAGACTGCCATGCACAGGCACCACATGTTGGGCCCTCTGACCTATCGGTTAAAGCGCCTCACCTGTGTGAGTTTTCATGTGGGCAATTAAATAAAGGTTCTTGGTAAAACCCTTTCCACAGGTCTGACAGGAAAAGGGTTTCTCACCTGTGTGAGTTCTCATATGACGAGTTAATTGACATTTTACTGCAAAACGTTTTCCACATGTAAGACATGAATATGGTTTCTCCCCTGTGTGAATCCTCATGTGGAACTTCAGATTACCCTTTAAACTGCAACGTTTCCCACAGATCTGACAAGAGTAAGGCTTCTCTCCTGTGTGTGTTCTTATATGCTGAGTCAAACTGCTTTTCATGATGAAACGTAGTCCACAAGTCAAACAAGAAAAGGGCTTTTCACCAGTGTGAGTTCTTATATGTGTGAGCAAGGCACTTTTCTGATTGAAACTCTTTCCACAGGTTTGACACATGAACGGTTTCTCTCCTGTGTGTTTTCGTGAGTGAACTTTGAGACCTGGTTTCTGAGAGAAACTCTGTCCACAGATCTGACATGAGAAAGGCTTCTCCCCTGTGTGACTTCTCATATGACTAATCAAAGTACCTCTGGTACTAAAACTTTTCCCACAGGTCTTACAAGCATAAGGCTTCTCTCCTGTGTGAGTTCTCACATGAGTAGTTAACTGACTTCTGCTAGCAAAGGTCTTGTTACAAATTTCACATGAGAAGGGCTTCTCGCCGGTGTGCGTTCTCATGTGAAGAGTTAAATTCATCCTCTGAATGAAACTTTTCCCACAGGTCTGACAAGAGAAAGGCTTCTCACCACTATGAATCTTCATGTGGTTTTTTAAATGACTTTTAAGAATGAATTTTTTGCCGCAGGTGGGACATTTAAAAGGCTTCTCACCTGTGTGGGTTCTCATGTGTGCAATCAGATACTTCTGAGTGAAACTTTTTGCACAAATTTTGCAAGATGACAGATTATAATTGGTGTCACTTTTTCGGGGCCTTTTTAGTTTTGTTTTGCGACTTCCCTCATCTTGCTCAGACTCTTCTGTGCTGGAATCAGAATTGTCTTCATTGCTTTTCTTCTGATTCTGGTCCTCGGAATCAGCAGAGTTCTGGTCCGTGTTTGGTTCTGGTTCTCTCAGGTCGTCGTCATCAGAAACAGGACCCATAAAAGGTTTGAGGTTTCTGTTTGATTCTGGCTCTCTGGGCCGGTCCTGCTCAGGTACAGGACTCACCTTGAAGGTATCCGTCTCTTCTTTCAGAACTGGTTCAGCCAGAACCAGTTCTGCTAAGTGGTTCTGACTGACACAATGCTCATTGTGTTCCTCTTTAACCTGCACAGATTCTAGTTCCTCCTGATCCAAATGGACCTCCACCGCCGGGCTGCAGGGCTGCTGGACCATCTCAACCTCCTCCTCCTTGCAGTTGTAATGCTGCGGGACGCCTGCAAGCAAAACAAAGGAAACTGATCACTGTGGCTCAGAGCAACGCCACACTGTATCCAAGCCACACTGGAAGGTGACAACAGAAGCTTTCTGCGTTGGAGAGGACTGTTTGTTGGACCGCGGGTCCAGAACCAGCCGAGCCGACGTGACTCCGGCTGACAACCTCGGTAAGCAGCTGTGTGTTGCCACAAGGTTCATTTGTCAGATTTCACTCAAGTATTTGAGGAGAAAAAATAAACACTTTCACAGTGCGCCAATGTAAAGATGCAAAATAAATTTTTATTCCAGTTTTGTGTAATTCTTTTACAAGAACATTAGCTAACCTGAACAAAATCAAACTGAAACTCCGTGTGTCTCCGTCCACCTTGTCTGTTCTCTCCATCGCTGCAGCGCGGCACAACTCATTTGCATAAATTGCAAACTTTTCATAAAACTCTTATTCACAACGTTATGAAATTACCTGCATGCAATATAATAATCCAAAAGCATTAATTGAATTACTAAGTTTTGACAGTAACTGAATTTTTTCCTCACCTGAGCGCTCGGCTCCAAAACACTGCAAGCACACGTGTCAACTAAAACTAAGCTTTGGTTTTTATTGAGTGTTTCACTTGGTTAGAATCCCAACACGTCCCAAGAAAATGCCCACAGCATGACACCGCCACCATCACTACCACCAGCAGCAGCAGCTGCTGCTGCAGCAGCCAAGACAATCCATAAGAGGAGGAATGGATCCGAACATTGATGGCCATGTGACACTGATGCAGTGAAGGATTGTGGGTTTTTTAACTGAAGCAGAGAAATAATGTTAGATTCAGGAAATCACTGATGGTAAGCAAAGGCTACAAATATGAACAATGATTCTCACAGGTGTTCAAATACTGATTAGCAGCAGTAACACACAAATGAATCATTTAAACATCGGATATTGTGATTTATAGACTTTTTAGGTGGACACGGCGAAAACAGATTTCTACAAAATTATGAAACATGAAATAAGTGATTTCACAAACATTCTGGTCCGGACCCACTGCATCGATGACCTCAGACTAACGATGACCTCAGACTAACGATGACCTCAGACTAAGGATGACCTCAGACTAACGATGACCTCAGACTAACGATGACCTCAGACTAACGATGACCTCAGACTAAGGATGACCTCAGACTAACGATGACCTCAGACTAACGATGACCTCAGACTAACGATGACCTCAGACTAACGATGACCTCAGACTATCGATGACCTCAGACTAACGATGACCTCAGACTAACGATGACCTCAGACTAACGATGACCTCAGACTAACGATGACCTCAGACTAACGATGACCTCAGACTATCGATGACCTCAGACAGGCAGAAACAGAAAGCCAAGAGCCAATTCTGGGATTTTAAAGACTAAAATGAAAAAATAAGAAAGTAACAAGAACAAACTTATGCCACTAATACTGTCGGCATGTTATCTATTTTATGTTAGAATCAAGTGCTTCCAATGAACATAGTTTTGTTTTCTTGGTGTCTAAATCTCAGCAGATAGAAAATAATATTAGAACAAAGCTGATGTAGAAACAAGAGGTCTCACTGCGACAGAAACTCTGGGTCTGTGCTCCAGTATCAGGAAGTATGAAGCTAAAGCTCTGGGTGGATTTGATTTGTGAGGCGGCGGTTTTTCCCGCGGCTTCATTTTAACGGGCCGTTTACCGGAAATAGTTTTACATCTTTTATTTTCTCTCCACACCGCCTGCTGTCTGGCCGGCAGGAGGCGCTGTACGAATCACGCCTCGATAAATTTACCTCCAGGCCGGTACCGAACCTGCTCACTGTGGACTGACCCGGTTCTGCTCGGTTCGGACCCAGCGGACCTACCTGCGGGGTTCTGCTCGGTTCGGGTCCAGCTGAGGTCCAGCAGCCTCCGCTGCCGGTCGATCTCCTCCTCGTACCGGACGATGGTTTTTTCCAGCTGGGTGAAGATTTCTTCAGCAGCAGCAGTTAGTCTCTCTCTGATAAACTCCCTCAGAGGCTCAACGGAACACATTGTTGCTGCGCAGAACCGCAACAGAACCCGGACACGGCACAGCTAACGAGGCTAACGTAGCTAGCTCCTTTGTTTTCCTCCACCGGAAGTCCGGCCGCCAGTTTCCGGTGTGACGCCTGACTTTAGGCGGGGCTGTTTTACCAAACGGAGTGAAGAAACGTCTCAGAAAAGCAGCCAAATAAATATTTGGGTATTGTTCGTGTTTGAAACCCATTTCCCGCAGAGACTTTGTGCTCATGTTTGAAACATGAATTCATGGCCCGTTCAGGCTCCACGTCCCTCCAGGATGGAGGTTCAGGTTCATCACCTGCCTTTGCAGCATCACACAAACTCCATCCATTTTGTATTGTTCAGTTCTGCAGCTTGGTTCTTCTCTGTGAAGCTGTGCTTTATGCGGCTGATTGTCTCTGCAGCAGATTTATTTCTTCTGTGAAATGAAAGCAACAGAAAGCAGTTCTGCTGTAGATCTTTGCCTTTTTTACTCCAAGACACCAAGATGCCCACTCTGCTGGTTTGTTCAGTTTGTCTGTCGATGTGTGTCTGTCCCTATCAAATAAACTTAAAATAAAATAAATGAGTTAAAGGATAGAAAAGGAGATCGACTTTGCCTTTAATTTAAAATTTGAAATATGGAAAAAAAGTTGTCAGCATAAAATGAAATATCAAAGCTGTTGCTGTTTTTGGAAAATGTTTTAGTTATATTACCTGTTACAGTCCACTTTTTTCATCTTTTTGAAGACAAAAGTGGACCCTCCAGACCCAGAGCCTCCAGACCCTGCAGATCCTCCAGACCCTGCAGATCCTCCAGACCCTCCAGACCCTGCAGAGCCTGTGTAACGAATCTCTTCAAGAAGCTTCAATCAGATTTCAATCAAGTTTTTCTTTATTCTGGGAGAGAAGAACAAAACAAATTAGCTTCCTCTCCAAATCCTCTCCTTACACTCCAGCCCTAAATGTGAAAATAAAAATAAAGTTCATCCGAACTGTGCTAGACTAACTAGCACCGGTTGTTCGCGCCAAAATAAAAAAAAGAAATAATAAAACTGTTTAGAAAAATCGGCAACGACTGTCAAAACTGCATAATAACGCACTAACAGCAATAATAAACAACACATGGTAGAAACCTCAGAGTAAACAACAATATTCATACAGAAAACATACATCACTGCAGCAAACTTTCCTCTGACTCAGCAGCGCGAAACAACGCTGAGGGGAGGAGCTAGGGCTGGGGCAACTACGGAAGCCTAGGAGACATAATGGAGGCAAAGCGCAGAAAAGCGACCCCTGCAGGCAAATGCAACAAATCAAAATAACTCAATAAGATAAAATTCACAAATTCTCGATATAAAATGAATTAGAAATAAAAATGTTATAAACACATTTGTAACTCTGTTACACCTGCAGACCTCCTCTGTTTTTGACCTCCTCTGGTCAAAAACAGATTTTGGTTCTGTCCATCAAACGGCTCTACTGCAGATCCTCCTCATCCTCTCTGATGCTCCAGCACCAGATGGCCACATCCGGCCCGTCCATCTGAGGACGGGTTCAGCCCAGCGACACGCAGCCGATGAGATTATTGGTCTGAGCAACAGACGCATCAGAGCTCAGACTGTAACCGCCTACGGGAAGCCCACTGGGTCAGAACCAGACTCCTCAGCCTCTATCATGTTCAAATGTCCGTCAATCCACTGGTAACGGCCGAACTGTGATGTCATCAATGTCGACATGAAGATCAGTAATTACTGAAAATGTATTTGGAGTATTGCGTAACCCAAATGTTCATGCAGCTTTATATTATATTCAGTGTGGTGTCTGAACAAAATGTAAAATTTGTATTTGGAGGCGGAACTTAAAGTACAGGGTCTGTTTCTGTACTCTGTTCTCCGTGTGACACTTCCGGCGGAAGTAACTAGCAAGGCGCTCGCAGCGTTAGCTTCCTGTGGTCGTTAGCGGCGGTTTCGGCCCATTTCAGCCTGCAGTGGAAACAAATGCGGTTAAACTTCAACCTGCAGAGAATCAGAGACGAACCGCCGAAAGATTGATGAGGCAGGAGGAAGAACTGCGAACGGCAGGTGAATCTGGATGATCCATGTCAGACATTATCATGCAAACAATGAAACAAAACACAGGACGCGATTCTTCATCCTAACTAAATGTGCTTCATTTAAAACCCAAAGGCTGAAGTTCTGTGTAAAATCAAAGATTAAAAATGACAGAAATGCGTTAAAATGGAACTAAAACGATGAAAAAAGACTTAAACGGAATTAAAAGCTTTAAAAAAGAGACTTAATGACACGAAGCAAAAACTCCTGAATGATAATCAAAGTTCAGGATCCAGAACCGGAACATCTGCTTCTGTTCAGTTGATCTAAACTCATCTGGATCTAGATTAAAATCTGGATTAATCCCAGCCGGTTCTGGATTTTCCATTTCTCTGCTTCCTGTAATATTTCTTCTCTTTTGCTCGTTTGTGTCTCTGGACTTTTCTGTGTTTAACAGATGGATGACAAACAAAATAGTCATAAAATATCAGTTATTTCTAATTCTACTATTGAGAAGCTAAAATGCGATTGACAGAACATGACATTATAGAAATGGTTTTGTAAATATTTTACGATACTTGTGCCTTCATATAGGTATATTAAAAGTTTTTTTTGACTCCATATATTTCTTTACGAAATATGCTGATTTGAATTGTGGGTTTTTGTGTGCTGTTTGTTTTATGGGACACCTGATGGAAGTTAGCATCTTGCTAAAGCTAGTGTGTTTATGACTCTATTGTACGCTTATTAATATGCACTTTGACATTTAAATATATTTAATTCAGTATCAGAGTATTTGATATGGAATCATGACCTTCTTAACATTATCAACAACATTCAAATGTTGCAGTTCTTCTCAGTCGCTGCATTTTTATTACAGATATTTAGAAAACTCCACATTCCGCTGTCCAAAAAACACAATTTCACAATCATGATGCTCCCATTGAATGAGAAACACAATTAATGTCACACTTGACTGAATTTGTTCACGCGCCACCATCCTCCTGCCACTTCCTGTTGTCTTTGTCTCGACTTTGTAACATTTGGTTGTTCACAACTCAAGATGCTGGAAAGTTTCCATTGCAGCTTTGAGACAAACACAAATTTTGAAACAGCTGAAAAACCAATTTGTCCTCAAAATGTTTTAAATTCCATGAAGCAAATACTTTTTGTAATTCCAATTTGCAAAATGGAAACATAACTAAAGAAGTGGAAAGCTTTTTTCACGCTACCAAAATGGCGACAGGAAGACCAGGATCTTGGAAACTTTCTGTTGATATTTTTCTGAACTTTACCTGAAATTTGAGTTGAGTTTGATCAACTTGTGCCAGATCTGGATAAAGTAGCTAAATAAGACGTTTGAGTCGTCCTTTTATGTTTGTTTAATGCTTGTTGCTTAAGAGTTTTGGTGGATATTTGTCGGTCTTCTAAAGCCGTTTAAAGCAGCGTGCACATTTCATATTTGCCCACTGATTTGTGTCGAGCTGCTTTTGTGGTTCATGCTTGTCTTCATTTGTTGATTTCGTCTTGTTTTAAGTAGTTTTAGAGATTTCTCAGTATTTCATTTCATTTAATCACAGTTGGATCATTAGTTTGAGGAGCTTTGCTGCATGTCGGTAGTTAAGAGGTTATTTATTTATGGGAAAATTTAGCAGTAAAGTTGAGCTACTTTGTTAGTGAATCCTCAGACTAAATTGGAAATAATTCCTTTAATGTGACGAGTTTTTCTGCTGGTATTTATGTTATATTAAATTATCATTGGTAAAATTGGCCTGATAGTTGGAGAGCGCGCAGCACAGGGGGGGTAAGGATGGTCCCAGTAGAGTTACAGCTTGATTTATTCTCTAGTGTTTTTTTTGTTTTTTTTGCTGCCAATTGTTTTATTGTTGTGTTGTACCACTGAGATCAGGCTAACCATAACCCTACAGACCTGGTTTATTAAAACTCTGAACATGCGTCTCCTCTGCAGCAGCTGGGATCTGCTCTCAGTCCTCTGATGTTTGCTGGTTAGTCAGTTTTTATTTGGATTTTTTAGATTCTGCAGCTGTTAGCCACATGCTGCTGTTTGCAGTCGTTTGCTGTTAGCTGCATGTTGCTATTAGCCCCATGTTAACTGCTGTTAGCTGCCTGCTGCTGTTAGGAGGCACTTATAGTGGGAGTTGGTCCAGAGAGCTGACTACAGTTGCGTCAAACGAATGACAGACAGGAACAGTCACAGATCCTGGCCTCCACTTCTCGTGGTAGATTATTACGAAACCTCCCCTTCTGACAGAAAAATGAGGTTGAGTGATGTAAACTAACCCTGGAGGAGTAGCGTCGTCGTTGAGTGGAGCAAAGTTGTTCGGATGTTGCCACATTTCAGTTAAGCACAGAAAATCTTTCTGTCAGAGATTATAACCTGCACAAGATATCCTTTACTCATGAGTAAGTGGATGTTGAAGAGACCAAAGTTGATGCTTTTATTGTGATTGACAACAGCGATAGCTGACCGAGCCAGTTGGGAAAACGCACTGTGCTCAGCACAGCAACCAGTGTTCCTAGGTGGACGATGAACAGCAGTCCAGGTAGATTTAACAGAGTTATGTCCGTCACAGCAGAAAATCCGGCAAGAGCCTTGATGGCAGAAATACCCGTCAGAAATATCCTGGTGTAAGAGCAGAGCTGATGGTGGTGATCCATGCAGCCGTAAGCAGATCTTTGAAAGCTCTATGGCAGAGCACTGGAGGAAGGCTGTCGTTATTCAGGGTACTAAGAAAAGTATGTCTCTGTTAAAGAAAACAAGAATCTTATTGTCAGAGATTTCTCTTGACTTTTGCTCTACATTTGTAACCCACCTGACTGCCTGAACCAAATCCTATTTCCTTTCATTTCCGGTTTGAATGCTGCTGCCTCATGTAGCTTCATCTGTTCACTAAAACAACCTGACACAAACACACTTGCATTGACTTTGGCATTAAATTCAATACCCAATGGTTATTACGATCCTGAATATATAGTAGTTGTACTGTAGCATATTTCTCAGTCAACTCATGACTCCATGCTGGTCATCGTTCTGATCAGTGCAAAGTACCAGCTAGTTACTAAAGTAGAAGGCAGTGCGTACCCCAAGCAGCGTTATGTGGCGAGCGAGCCAGGAGTCACAGTTTGTGAATGAGAAACAGGACTGTGAAAAAATGGGGGATAATAATGGATGTCTTCACTCAGTCAGGGACAAATGTGCTAATCACTGGTGCTGATAAATTGATTGGTTAAAGAGTTGAGGGACAATGAAACACTTTGTATGTTAATGACCCAAATTGTTCATTCTACAAATCCTGGCTGTCAAGTTTGAATAAATAATGAATGATTCATTCAGGGGGAAATCCACATTTCAGTACAGCCCATCCAAAGAACAAAATACAAAGAAACATTTAAGACATTGGTGGAAAGGTGCAACCCTTCAGGGCTGCACCTTTTCATTAGATGAGAATAACCACATTAAGGAAAAATGATGTCTCTCACTGTTTCCTATTGGACACATAGTAGGGTTGCACAAAACCTTTGTGCATGACAGCAATATATAGACAACATAAGGAGAGGAGGCAGTGAAGGCAGTGAGGTGTGTTTTTAGAGCCATACGGTGTGTGTGGATTTGTAAATAAGTCTTTAAACACTGTTTCCCCCACCAGTCTTTGATGATTGATGGAGCATCATCAGCGGCCTCAATAAATCCCTGATTCAAGACCACATATGTCAAGTTGTGACCTCTTTCTCAATGGTGAAATCCAAACAGCCAAATAAGTGGTCAGTCCAACTGAACCAGCAAGTTCCTGCAACTCTCAGCAAGACTTCAGCATCTGAGCCTGCGGCACATTCCCTCATACGGTGGCCTCTCAACGGCCACAACAGTTTTCTGGATTTCATGGTATGCTGGGTAACCGGCAACTCCAAAAAGCAACTCCAAAAGTTGTGTTCACATCTTCAACATCCTGGACCAACAGGAAGGACGGACTACTCCTCTACTTACACAATAATACATTAACACAACTTTATTGCTCATTCTGTTTTGCCTTACATTTCGTTGCTTTGTCCATGTGACAGTGCAATGACAATAAAGTTGAATTCTATTCTATTCTATTCTTTCTCTGTATGTATGTATTTTAGGTTTATTAAATGCAGACAAAGCAAATAACTTTGACCTGGCCTGAGTTTGGAGTGGAGCCCAGGCTATAGAGCTAAACTCTAGCTAAAGACACATCCTGTCATTTGATAAAACATTTCAAAACTGAACAATCTATGTTACGCACCATTTATGATTTTAGACATTCAGAGGGAATGTAGGCTTAAAAAGAAGAATGGCCAACCTGTTCTACATAAAATGCATTTGTTTTCAAAACTTATCATTTGATCTATATAGGAGTGTCTAGTTCATTTACTTTGGATCAACATTATTAGCTTTTTCTTCTTTTGCTCTTTCTTTTGGTTTGTATTTCCTTTTAAATACTGTAAAGCACTTTGTATTGCCTTGTTGCTGAAAATGTGCTATATAAATAAAATTACCTTTACCGCCTTCTTAATGTCTTTTTCAGAACTCATGTTGGCAAACTGAAGAACTCATTTTGGAAAAAAATGATATTGAGATCACCCGAGTATCAGCAGTTACCTTTCTGTTGTGTCTTGTCTAAAGATTGTAGAGAAACCTCAGTCTGCTTTCATGTTTGCACAAAAAAAACTCAGTTGAGTAGTGAGCTCCACCTGTCAGTTGCATGTGCAACATGTTGATGATCTGTAGCTGTCAAGTTTCTGGTGTAGCAACTGGTCAATGGAAAATAAGCTAAAATTAATATTACATTTTCTGTTCTTTTTTTTCAGATTTCCCACACCATTATTTTTGTTATTAAGCTAGATGTTGCTCATTAATTTATCTTCTACCAACAAGAGATCTCTGTTCTGGAAAAGAGGGAAACAGCACGTTTAAAAACCAAAGGGAAAGCCAATGAACCAGAACTTGGATATGTGTAAAGAGAGTATGGATCCGACCCTTTGCTGAATGAAGACTGAAGGACCACATTGTACTAAAGGGATGGATATCAAAATGGGGCCAAATTCTGGACCTCTTGAAATAAAAGAAGAACCAGAGGAACGAGAACTGCAGCAGGTTAAAGAAGATTATGATCAATCAGGATTTCAGCACATGGTAAAACTTGAGATTGAAGACATCAATCAGGATGAAAACCAGGATGTACTGGAGCAAGAGACAGATACCTTAATGGGGGGAGACTCTGCTCCTGTTGAACTCAAAGAGGAACCAGTAGAACTCAAACCTAAACAAGTAAAGGAAGAGGTGCATGGATCAGGACCTCAGCAGATGGTAGAGAAAGAGGCTGAAAGCATCAGTCAAGATGAAAACCATGATATACTAAAACAGGAGACTGATGATTTAGTCCTAGAGACTTCTGATAATGATACAGACCAACAACAACCACCAGATGTAAGTGCAAACCAAAGCCACTTACAGAACTTCTCTAAAGTAGAGCTTCAGGAAATAAAGACTCATGAAGCTTCAGGATCCAGTAAAGATAATTGGCAACAGAAAATGGCTCAGAAAACCAGAGGTCAAAGTGATGATGCAGAGAAAAGGATGAAGGGCAGAAAAACTCAGAATGCTAAACAATGTAAAGTGTGTGCAAAATGTTTTAAATGTAATAGTGATTTAACAGTTCACATGAGAATTCACACAGGTGAGAAGCCTTTCTCATGTGTAACCTGTGGGAAATGTTTTAATCACAAACATAATTTGAATAGTCACATGAGAACTCACACGAATAAAAAGCCTTTCTCATGTACAACCTGTGGAAAAGGTTTTAATCAAAAAATTACTTGGAAATGCCACATGAGGACTCACACAGGTGTGAAGCCTTTCTCATGTCTAACTTGTGGGAAATGTTTCAGTCACAAACATAATTTGAATAGCCACATGAGTAGTCACACAGGTGAGAAGCCTTTCTCATGTCTAACCTGTGGAAAATGTTTCATTCAGAAGTTTAGTTTGACTATTCACATGAGAACTCACACAGGTGAGAAGCCTTTTTCATGTATAACCTGTGGAAAATGTTTCCGTCATAAACATGATTTGAATTGCCACATGATGACTCACACAGGTGAGAAGAAGCCTTTCTCTTGTTCAATCTGTGGAAAAAGTTTGGTACAGAAACGTAATTTGAGTGTTCACATGAGAACTCACACAGGTGAGAAACCTTTCTCATGTATAACCTGTGGAAAAAGTTTCATCCAAAAACGTAGTTTAAATAGTCACATGATAAGTCACAGAAGTGAGAAGCTCTTCTCATGTATAATCTGTGGGAAGGGTTTCAATAAAAAATCAAATTTCACCTGCCACATGAGGATTCATACAGGTGAGAAGCCTTTTTCATGTCTAATCTGTGGTAAAGGTTTTAATCAAAAAAGATTTTTGAGTACCCACATAACAACTCACACAGGTGAGAAGCCTTTCTCTTGTCTAATTTGTGGAAAAGGTTTTATGCAAAAACATAGTTTGAATAGCCACATGAGAAGTCACACAGGTGAGAAGCCTTTCTCATGTTTGACTTGTGGAAAAAGCTTCATTCAAAAACGTAGTTTGACAAGCCACTTGAGATATCACACAGATGAGAAGACTTATTCATGTGGAACTTGTGGAAAGAGTTTCAATAAAAAATCTACTTTTACTAGCCATGTGATAACTCACACAGGTGAGAAGCCTTTCTCATGTTTTACTTGCGGAAAAAGTTTCATTCAAAAACGTAGCTTGACTAGACACATAAGAACTCACACAGGTGAGAAGCCTTTTTCATGTATAATCTGTGGAAAGGGTTTCTATAAAAGATATAGTTTCACTTATCACATGAGGATTCATACAGGTGAGAAACCCTTCTCATGTAAGACCTGTGGAAAAGGTTTTAATCAAAAAAGATTTCTGAATGCTCACATGCTAGCTCATACAGGTGAGAAGCCTTTCTCATGTCTAACTTGTGGAAAAAGCTTCATTCAAAAACGTAGTTTGACTAGCCACATGAGATCTCACACAGGTGAGAAGCCTTTCTCATGTATGACCTGTGGGAAAAATTTTCTTCAAAAACGTGGTTTGACTAGCCACATGAGAATTCACACAGGTAAGAAGCCCTTCTCGTGTCTCACCTGTGGGAAAGGTTTCCTTCAAAAATGCAGTTTGACGTGCCACATGAGGTCTCACACAGGTGAGAAGCCTTTCATATGCGGAACTTGTGGAAAAGGTTACAGTCGTAAACATAGTTTGATTAAGCATCTTACAACTCACAAAATAGAATCCTTTCCCATTTCATACTTGTAGTAAAAGACTTTGTAGCTGCATTTTACCTGATGAAACTTGTAAAAATGTAATTAGAAATTGTTGAAAATTACCCATATAAGTTGGAAGATTTTATTGTTATTAATATTGCTGCTGAATGAAAAGACCTTTAAATTCTCTTACATTTAGGGTTAGGGTATTTACATTTGTGTAAATCTTTGAATAATTAAACCTACTTTTGCAGATAAATCTAACTTTTGAGGTTTGTGATCAGATTTCCAGACTTTCTGGTGTTCGCACATTGTTTAGATCTGACATGTACTGGCAAATTTAGCTTGAGACTCCTTGCATAGATATGACTTAATAATTATACATGATAGTAATGACACTTTGACCTCAATATGAACTCTGAAGTAAGAGAGTGAAAAAACAACTGAAGATGTAACACAGATGCACTGAGCAGGTGACTGGTGAGAAAAGCAGCATCAGAAGATGTTCCTTTAAACGAGTCTGAGATGGGAATGAGGAAACATCGGATTGGTTTCAGTTTGGTCTAAATATTGAGTTGAATCTACAAATAGAATATGACATAATAACATATGACACAATAACATCCCGTTGGGATCTGAACCCAACGGGATTTTATCTACAAGGCAGATCAAAATTGAAACTCTTACTGTCAAATTATTTTCTTTGTATTTGACATTTTGTGAAAGGTTTTTAATTAAATATAGATATTGAACTCTGTTGTCTTCAAAGTTTGATGCTTTTGGTGTTCTTTTTATAGTCCAAACAGAAAGCAATGTTCAGAAAAAAATAACTCCACAAAGATTAATGTCTGGTTTTGGGATGTTTGTAATAAATTGCCATAACAGTTTTGCTTTGTGTGTTTTTTCATCAATTGTATTGAAATGATGCATGATGTAAAATCCATGATGTGAAACAAAAAGAAACATTTCTCAGTATTTAATGAGTGACAATTATTGAAATGAATGAACCTGCCTGTCGGTGTCATGTGACCAGGTATGGAGGCCAAAGACCTCAAGCTCGAGGACTAGCCCTTTAAAAATGGAGTATGTCTGTTGTGTGGATTAATATTATTGCTCATCAAAAGATCAGTCTGACTATCAATTCAATGCTAAACTCAGTCAAACTTGGTGAGACCATCAAAGTCGACAGACTGAACTATAAATCTTTACATCTGTGTTTGCACGACCTTCAACCTTCTCAATTATTTGCTGGTCAAATTTAAATCAAACTACTGAAAAAAAATCACTTTGAATAAAAAAAACATTTATCTGAAAAATAACAGCTCTCATCATCTTTCCAAGTATCCTGGTTCATCAGTTCCAGGTTGTTACCTTCATGCTGAGTTCACTCTAAAGACAGAACCAGTAGAACGTTTGGATCAGAACCGGTAGAACGTTTGGATCAGAACCGGTAGAACGTTTGGATCAGAACCGGTAGAACGTTTGGATCAGAACCGGTAGAACGTTTGGATCTTTATTCTCAGAGCTCCTCCAATCAGTTGTACCTTGAAAATGTTTTCAGCTGTGATGTTCCTTTTTTGGTCAATAAAAGATGAACAGAGAACCAAGTACTGCAGATAATAAGCAAAAATGTTAATATTTGATTTTCTGTTTTCATTTTTTCAGATTTGACACATTATGTCTGTTATCAAGCAAGATGTTCTTGCTCATCATTTTATCCACAACCAACAAGACGTCTCTTTTCTGAACCAGAGGGAATCTCTGAAAACCAAAGGGAGAGCAGAGGAACCAGAACCGGACCTTTCTGCACCAAAGCAAGAAACGGATAACGCAATAGGAAAAGATTCTGCATGTCTAGAAATCAAAGAAGAGCCAGAGGAACTAGAACTGCAACAAATGAAGGAAGATGATTATCAATTAGGATCTCTGCAGATTGTAAAGATTGAGGTTGAAGACATCAGTCAAGATGAAAACCAGGATGTACTGGACCAAGAGAAGAATACCTTAATGGGAACCAATTCTGTATCTCACCAAATGAAAGAGGAACCAGTGGAACTAGAAGTTAAACAAATAAAGGAACAGGAAGATGGATCAGGACTTGAGCAGATGGCAAACTCTGAGGCTGATGGAATCAGTCAGGATGAAGACCAGGAATCAGCAGAGGAGGAGAGTGATATCTTAATCCTAAAGCTTTGTGATGATGAAACAGACCACCAAGAACCAGACCTCAATGGAACCCAAATCATCTTTCAGAACATCCCTGAAGCAGATCATCATCAGGGAATAAAGACTAACGAAGCCTCGGGATCCCGCAGAGACAAACAACAACAGAAGACCAGAAGTGAGAATGAAGAGCAAAGGATGAAGGGCAAGAAAATTCAGAAGAATAAAACATTGAAACAGTGCAAAGTGTGTCATAAAAGTTTTAAATTCAACTGTGGATTAACAGTTCACATGAGAACTCACACAGGTGAGAAGCCTTTCTCATGTATCATCTGTGGAAAGTCTTTTAATCAAAAAAGTAATTTGATTAGCCACATGAGAACTCACACAGGTGAGAAACCTTTCTCATGTCTAACCTGTGGAAAAAGTTTCAATCAAAAACATATTTTGAATTGCCATATGAGAACTCACACAGGTGAGAAGCCTTTCTCATGTCTAACCTGTGGAAAATGTTTCAGACACAAAAATGATTTGAATAGCCACATGAGAACTCACACAAGTGAGAAGCCATTTTCATGCTTAACCTGTGGGAAGGGTTTCAACACAAAGCGTAATTTGACTAACCACATGACAAATCATACAGGTGAGAAACCTTTTTCTTGTAAAACCTGTGGGAAAAGTTTCAATCAAAGAGGAAGTTTGACAAGCCACATGAGAACTCACACAGGTGAGAAGCCTTTTTCATGTATCATTTGTGGAAAGGGCTTCAATGCAAAACGTAATTTGACTAACCACATAAGAAATCATACAGGTGAAAAGCCTTTCTCATGTGGAACCTGTGGTAAAGGTTTCAGTCATAAAAAAAGTTTGATTAACCATGTTATAATTCACACAAAATAGAAACCTTTCCAGTTACACAAAGTCATGTGACTGAGGCGTTAACCGAAGCGTTTCCCTGACGTACCTTTGTTTGTCCACATATGTGATCTTTTGGTTGACATGGTTACCAAGTAGAAAGTGATGACAGAACCAATCCGTCAAAAAGCTCAAAAACAAATGAATGTCTGCTCTGTTGACAGTGAAGAAACTATTAACCTAGTGAAGGTAGCAGAAGCATCTTAACCTCTATCGGAAAGGGAACGCTCCCCTACAAAACGCTTCAAAAACCGTCACCACCAGCTGAGACACTTTAAATTCAAAGTCAGAATTTATTTCACCTCCAAGAATGGAATCGCTATGAAAATGATCACATTTCCTAATTATGACTTATGCACACTTAATACTCATTATTATTAATGGTTATTGATTGTAAAATCTTTTATTTGGGTTGTGCCAATGTTTTTGTAAACCTTTTCCATGACAACAAAAATGACATGGATGACTGAGACATGACGAGATGTCTGAGTTTTAATTGGCACAAAACTAAACGAGAATGTTTGTCAGGCGTCCAACATGGTTGATATTTCTGCCTGTTGTTCTCATAACCTCATAAACATCCTGTTTGGTCACACCCGCCACCTGAATGACTTGAATCATGGACGGACGACGGCCTTACGACACACTGGGTCAACAGAAGCCCTGAAAGGATTTCTGGGCCTTTATCCATAAATAGGCCATCAACCTTTTGAAAGAACTGGATTGTCTCGGGAGACGGTGCTGAATGTGGACTTAAAGTTGGTGAACCAAACAATAGGAATCTTAAAAATACTAAATGTTATATGATAGGCATACAATGTTACTTAATTGTCAGCTTGTGTTAAATTTAGTAGCTATGAAATTCCACATAACTCCTGGCGCACATGGGCGCTATCTTCATTTTAAAGTTTGCTTGGTTGCTCTGTAAAGTCAGCTGATTCACTTGTTTGTGTGTTAATATTATCGGTGGATCATGTGAGGTTTATGGACGGGCTGAGGCTGCCACCATCTTGTAAAACACAGAATCATCCTTAAATGTAACTGAAGCAGAAATATTAAGGTCCGTTATGGACCGTCGTTTCCTGCAGGAGCTGATGTGACAACAAACACGGCGCTGCTCTCAACACCTGCTGTCTTTTTAAAGCAACGCGAGTCAGAAGGGAAAACTCTCCCTGAACGACGGACGTGAGTCAGAAGCTGCGTCTTGCTGCCCGTCAGTGAGGATCTGGAATGTGATTCTCTTCGCTGGAACAAACGCGTGAAGTTCAGACATCAGAATCTCAGTTCATTCACAAAATCTCCTGGGAATGAAATGGAGTGTGATTCTATGAATGATTCACTTTTCTCACTTTAAAATACTGCGGTTTGATTTGCTTGCATGTTGAGTTAAAATGTTCATTGATACAGTAATATTAGCCATTTTAATTTTGAATAGGTTTAGTCTTTTGACTTATGTTAACATACTCCATGAAGAATGTTTCTGCAAGAATGCAATATGAAATTTGTTATGGGCAGTGCGTAGCTTTTCATCTTACTGGTTGAAATATTCTGTTATCATTGAAGGCAAGAGCAGAAAAATTCATAAAAAGTTAAATCTGTACGCATCGCATTTTCAGACAATAACTTTATGCCACAACTGGGTAAAAACATTTTGTGTTTCAAGTAAATTGATGAAAAACTCTTTACATTTTACATACAACTATGTTGACAAGATTGTAGATTTAGTTGACTAAATTTGATTAAACTTGGTTGACTGCAACAATTCCTTTTGGCTAAATGTAAATATAATTGTGCTGTAGAAACTGTCGCTGCTTTGCGTGGAGTTTTGGTAAATGGAGGTTTGCAGCGGTGAGTCTGCAGAAGGCCGGACAGCTGAGGCTGTTTGAATCAGACTGAAGGAAACCAGGAAGCTGCAGAGACGGTGGGATCCAGACTGGTAACCTTTAAAGCAGCCATTCTTAACCGTCGGGCAGCGTCCAACATTTGGGCCTCCAGCGCCACCTAGAGGTCTGCAAAAACTCCCAGGGTTTTACCAGCTGTGAAGTTTATAGACATTACCGTCAGAATTCACGCAAGTTTCTACCACTTGGTGGCAGTAAGTGCCATCAGTTGTTTAATAAGCTCTAATGAGCAGAAGAAGAAACCAGATGGTCTGCAGACATTTTCATGTGAAAATGCTTCCATCTCCAGCACTGAAGCTCCTCTTCCCATTAACAACCAGAGAATCCAGTGGATCAGGATTCTCCTTCATGGCTTCAACCAAAACCCGAAACACTCCGAGCTGCTGGAGGTTCTGGCAGCCGGAACCAGACCCAGACTGGACCTGATGGTCCGACAGGAACAAGAGAATTAAAATAGAACATCTGAAAGATAAACTGTTGTGACTGTTTGTTTAAATTATTTTTATAATACATTTATCTGAGTTATTTTAATATATTTTTGAGAGTATAATTTAACTTAACCAATTTTCAGATTTTCTTAAGTTCTCTTGTTGGCACAAAGCATCTGACAGCCACTAGACATAAAAACATTTCTGCCAAAAACCTTTTCAGAAAAAGCATTTATGAACTGTTAAAACTTTCTAGAAAAGGTCAGCATTTGAAATGTAAAATATTTTAACTTTTCACAAACAAGTGTTCATGTTTTTTATAGAACTTTTCATCTCAGAATTTCTGAGTTTTATGGTAAATATTCTCTTCCTTCATTTCCATCTGCAGTGGTTTGATGGCTGAACATCAGCCTCTCATTTTACTCCAGCTGCAGATTTGAATGAATTTCTGGCTTGTTCAGATGTTTTATGTGCAGGTTTGCTACATAAAAAGCTTTGTGATTATCACATTGCTACAAGTTATTGCTGCGGTTCACATAAAGCTGCGTGACCAGAGCCGACAGGGTGAGTTTAAATGCTTCCCTTGATGTGCAGCTGATTCCACACAAGTGTCAAAGTAACCATTCCTCCTCAGTCTTTGCATGTAACCTCTGATTAGGGAGACTTGAGTAGCAGCAGTTTTCATCTCGCCCATTTCCGTCTTGTTCCAGTAGCCCATTTGTCATCAAGGTGCTCTGGTTCCCCAACACCTGACGCAGACCTTGTTTGGCCGGGCGACGTCTGAGCCGGCATGTTACGCAACTTAGTATCTCTCATGGTATGAGGTAGGCAGTAACTTGAAGGGTCTTGCCTAAGGACCCAGACTGGATATAGATATATATATACAGTTGTGGTCAAAAGTTTACATACACTTGTATAAAACATAATGTCATGGCTGTCTTGAGTTCCCAATAAGTTCTACAACTCTTATTTTCCTGTGATAGAGTGATTGAAACACATACTTGTTTGTCACAAAAACAGTTATAAAGTTTGGTTCTTTCATAAATTTATTATGGGTCTGTTGAAAATGTCACCAATCTGCTGGGTCAAAAATATACATACAGCAACATAAATTGTCAATTTTGGTGATGTAGAGAGTTGTTTCAATCAAATTAGCTTAATGTCATGGCCTATTCACTTCTTGTAAGTGATTCTGATTGACTACAGCTGTTCACTTCTCATGAGCCCATTGAAATAGGGACCATTTGACCCAGTGATCAGACTCAGCCTCAAAAGCTACAATGGGAAAGTCAAAGGAACTCAGTGTGGATCTGAAAAAGCAAATTATTGACTTGAACAAGTCAGGAAAGTCACTTGGAGCCATTTCAAAGCAGCTACAGGTCCCAAGAGCAACTGTGCAGACAATTATTCACAAGTATAAAGTGCATTGAACAGTTGTGTCACTGCCATGATCAGGAAGAAAACGCAAGCTATCGCAGGCTGCCGAGAGGAGATTGGTCAGGATGGTCAATGGTCAACCAAGAATCATCAAAAAGCAGGTCTGCAAGGATTTGGAAGCTGATGGAACTAAGGTGTCAAACGTGTTTTACATCGCCATGGACTGAGAGGCTGCCGTGCAAGAAAGAAGCCCTTGCTCCATAAAAGACACCTTAAGACTCGGCTGAAGTTTGCTGCTGATCACATGGACAAAGATAAAACCTTCTGGAGGAAAGTTCTGTGGTCAGACGAAACAAAAATTGAGCTCTTTAGCCACAACACCGAGCAATATGTTTGGAGGAGAAAACATGAGGCCTTTAATCCCAGGAACACCATGCCTACTGTCAAGCATGGTGGTGGTAGTATTATGCTCTGGGGCTGTTTTGCTGCCAGTGGAACTGGTTCTTTGCAGAAAGTAAATGGGATAATGAAGAAGGAGGATTACCTCCAAATTCTGCAGGAAAACCTAAAACCATCAGCCCGAAGGTTGGGTCTTGGGCGCAGTTGGGTGTTCCAACGGATAATGACCCAAAACACACATCAAAAGTGGTAAAGGAATGGCTAAACCAGGTTAGAATTAAGGTTTTAGAATGGCCTTCCCAAAGTCCTGACTTAAACCCCATTGAGAACATGTGGACAGTGCTAAAGAAACAGGTTCATGCAAGGAAACCATCACATTCAGCTGAACTGCACCAATTCTGTCAAGAAGAGTGGTCAAACATTCGAAGCTTGCCAGGAGCTTGTGGATGGCTACCAAAAGCTAGTTGCCGTGAAAATGGCCAAGGGACATGTAACCAAATACTAATGTTGCTGTATGTATATTTTTGACCCAGCAGATTTGGTGACATTTTCAACAGACCCACAATAAATTTATGAAAGAACCAAACTTTATAACTGTTTTTTGTGACAAACAAGTATGTGTTTCAATCACTCTATCACAGAAAAATAAGAGTTGTAGAACTTATTGGGAACTCAAGACAGCCATGACATTATGTTTTATACAAGTGTATGTAAACTTTTGACCATCTTTATATTGGACAGCTGTTCCTAACTCAGGGAAATTGCAAACTTCATGAAAGGATTTTATGACATATTTAAAATCTAAAAGAAACCCCACAAAATCAACAAATGATTACATCAGACGATTATCTGTTAATAATCACTTATTTAATTCATGGATTAATAAAGTGAAGACACATCAAATGTAAGAGCCTGAACCTCAGGAGCTCCGCCCAGTAAAGTGGCCAGACAGGCTGCTGGTCACTCTGGTTTCCTGACCTTAACCAGGTAGAAACTGAGACATGAAGTGGATCAGACTCATCTCTGAACTCCTGAGCCACAGCTTCCAGATGTTAAAGGTGTTTTATAAAAGATGGTAATGATTTTAAACCTCTTGTTTACAGCCCAGATGTGAACAAAGTCATCTCCCTTCAGCATCTGGCAGGAGAAAAATTAATCTAGCATCTAAATATAACAGCTTAATAATTATAAATGGCCTCAGGACAGTTGTGGAAAGAGAAAGTTCTTAAATTCAATTCTTTAACAGATATTTTGACCCTAATGCCTTTACTAAACAGTTGACGGACAAGAAACAGAGAGGAGAGAGAAGACACAGAGACCGGGAATTGAACCTACGACAACTATGCTAACGATTGCAGCTTCTGCGTTCTACTAACTGAACAAGGCAGCGCCATGTTCTTAGTATTTTCTACACTGGACTGACTTTCAGCTGTTAATAATAATAAAGTCTTTATCTTGAAGTTTCCAGATCATCTCTAGGTTCAGTTCTTCACAATCAGTCCACCTTAATCTAACTGATCAACCACACAGCTTAGATCCTCACCTGTGTGAGTCTTCATGTGACGAGCCAAGTCATTACTCTGTCTGAAAGGCTTGTCACATAATGCACAGCGATACGGTTTCTCTCCTGTGTGGGTTCTAAGGTGACGGGTCAGATCGTTTCTTTGTCTGAAGGATTTGCTGCATAGCTGACAGGGATAAGGTTTCTCTCCGGTGTGAGTCATCATGTGATACCTCAGGGTTGTTTTCTGGACAAAACCTTTACCACAAGCCAGACACTGGAAAGGTTTCTCTCCTGTGTGAGTCCTATGATGGCGGGTCAAATCGTTCCTCTGCCTGAAAGACTTATCACACACTTCACAAGCGTACGACTTCTCCCCAGTGTGAGTCCTCATGTGTCTGGACATGCTGCTGCAGTCACTGAATGATTTACCACACACGTTACAGCAACACGGCTTCTCACCTGTGTGGGTTCTCAAGTGAACGGTTAAATGCCCGCCGAAGCGGAAAAGCTTCCCACACACTTTGCAGATGTACGGTTTCTCGCCAGTGTGAGTCCTCATATGTCTGAGCATGCTGCTGTACTCGCTGAAGCTTTTACCACACACTGAACACGAAGACGGCTTCTCACCTGTGTGAGTTCTCATGTGACGTGTCAGGTCACCATTTTGTCTGAAAGATTTGTCACACAATTCACAATTAAAGGGTTTCTCTCCTGTGTGAGTCCTCAGGTGACGCACAAAGTCACATCTCCGCCTGAAAGACTTATCACACGACTCACAGGAATACGTCTTACTGCCCGCGTGAACTCTCAGGTGACGACTCAGCTTAGATTGCTTGTTAAAGGCTCTCCCACAGGTCACACATGAGAAAGGTTTCTCAGCCACGTGAGTCCTCCTGTGGCGAGTGAAGTCACTGCTGTGTCCAAAAGATTTCTGACACACCTCACACTGATATGGTTTCTCACCTGTGTGAGTCCTAAGGTGGCAAGTCAAATCACTCCTCTGTATAAAGGATTTACCACAAAACTCACAGCTGTGCGGCTTCTCTCCTGTGTGCGTTCTCATGTGGTAACTTAACGTGGTTTTCTGGATGAAACCTTTGCCGCACACCGGACATTGGAAGGGCTTCTCGCCGGTATGGGTTTTCATGTGCAGAGTCAGGTCCGGCTGCCTGAGGAAACTTTTCTCACAAGACTGACATGAAAAAGGCTTCTCACCTGTGTGAGTCCTCAGGTGAGCAATCAAGTACCTGTGCTGCCTGAAACTTTTACCACACACATCACAAGACACATCTGTCTTACGTCTCATGGACTTTGAGTTGTCCTCATGACTCCTGGACGTCCAACACCTGTCAGGAGGGTTCTGGTCTGTCTGGGATCTGAATGCGTTTTGGGCTTCAGGAGAGAAGTGGTTCTGGTTTGGTTCTGGGTGCATGGTGTCATGGACTGGTATCATGAAGGTTTCGGTCTCCTCCTTCACTACAACCTGCTGATAGCAGCAGATGTCCTCCAGCTCCTCCTTCATCTCCATCGTCTGCTCCGGTTCTGGATCCATATGGACTATTCCCAGGCCGCCAGGGCTCATCACAGAACTGCTGTTCTCCTGCTTCACTACAAGCAACCCTTCATCCTCTTCTTCCTCACTGAGTTGAGTTTCTGGTTCCTTCTTGGTCTCCCTCATCTGCTGTGGTTCTGGTTCCTCCTGTTCCTTATTCATCTCCGGTCATCTGGGATCTTTGGGTCAACAGTAGAGTCTCTCTTCCTCCACTGTAAGTGGCAGAGCTGAATCACAGCAAGACATGGAAAAATAAAATTGCAACTTTAACATTTTATTATTGCAGATCAAAGAAACAATAAATTTATCACCAATAATCTGCTGTTACATACACAAAAAAAGAATTTAGACTTTTGTTTTGAATTCTGGCTTTAATCTTTAAGCCAGAATTTATCACAATATTTCAATTTAAGTTATTTTGATATATTAACATCAAAACTGAAAAAATCTGAATTATAAGATTAAAGTCAGAATTCTGGGTAAAATCATTTTACTTTTTTAGTTGTCTTAATTCTTAAAAGTTTAATCTAATTCTGAACATTAAATATTTGAATTAGTGAACATAAAGACCTGAGATGTGATTTTTTTCCTTCTTAGATCATTTTAAAACACAGGAAGTTGATGTTCAGACACAGGAAGTTCTTCTTGTCAACAGGATCCTGTGGAAAGTACAAAATGTGAAAAAGTTCAACAAACAAGCCGGGTTGAAATATTTCTAAGGAATGTTTTCCAGTGATGAGGTGAATCTGTTTTATCACTAGTGGCAACAACAAGCTCAAAATGCGGGAATGTCAGGAGAATCCAGTCCGTTATTTTCCCTCAAACTGATATGAAAATTACAAACCAAATATTCCTGAAGTCATTTTTATACTCATTAATCTGAACATGTTGCTTTCACAGTTGAAGATATGCTTTTATTTTGAAGGCACTGCAGAATCTGTGGAAATGGCAGAGTCTCATTTTCGGATCACGTAGGACAATATGTTGTAGATCAATATATTTATTTAGTTTGGGTCCTGAAGTCTCTAATAACATTTAAAAATGGCAGAAAGGATTTCGCTGCTCCAGCTTCTGAACAGGACAGTGACAAGAAATCAAATTTGTCTGCCTTCTCCCAGTACCTTAGCGCCGTTAATCATCACATGTACATGCTGCTCACCCTCTCCCACCCTCCATGCTGCAGCTGGTTCACTGCAACAGAGCCTGTCGTGAATGCTACAGCTTGATAGCATAGCCACTGATGAGAAGATGATAAAAGGTAAATCGATGTTCCTCCTCATCGATTTATTAAGCAGTGCATACATGAGTTTGATTGACAGTGCCAAGACCGTCCTCTTGGCTCTGATTGGCTGTTCCTGACCTGTAGATGCCAATAGTAGCTTTGCTTAAATTTGTTTCACAGATTACCTGTCTCATATTACACTGTCACAAAGTGATGAGACTTTTAATATTTGTAAAAACACTTTTTAAATAAGAAAGAGTTACACAATGAAGCTTTAGAAAAGAAAGCAGAGTAAAAAATTAGTCTGAATTATTTGTGTTTTATGTTTATGTCCATGTTTGACCTTCATGTTGTGAGACATTCACTTTTATAAAACTAATTAGAGGCCTGCTTTTTATTTCGCCCATCATGGATGCACTTCTGCTCAGGAGGCCCAAACATTTTGCTCTTATCGCTGAAACAAGAGACGTTTGATCCGATTTCCCTTCAGATGGGGAAGCAAAAAGGTTTCTTATTGGGTGTATGTAAACTTGTGGCCTCTGCTGTAGATATTTATCTCTACCGCCAATTGTGACGTCAGCATGATGAGTACGTGCGTACTGCAGCCTTTTCCCCAGACAGTACTGAAGCCATCTTTTACACCGGATTCTCTCGATACAAGAGAAATTTGTAAGTCATAGAAAACAGCAAGAACTGAAAAACATTCACAGTACTGCAAATACACAACTGAATTATCAATAGCATGTAATATTTCCCCTGTAAATGACACAATCCCACATTTTAAATAATAAGTGCAGTCATTGTCCTGGTGTTTTAATCAGGCATCTTTCTGGCTTCTATAAACATCGTCCTGGTGTTTTAATCAGGCATCTTTCTGGCTTCTATAAACATCGTCCTGGTGTTTTAATCAGGCATCTTTCTGGCTTCTATAAACATCGTCCTGGTGTTTTAATCAGGCATCTTTCTGGCTTCTATAAACATCGTCCTGGTGTTTTAATCAGGCATCTTTCTGGCTTCTATAAACATCGTCCTGGTGTTTTAATCAGGCATCTTTCTGGCTTCTATAAACATCGTCCTCAGGCGCAGAGGCGGCTGAGCAGATCTGAAACACCTGCTCCTGGGGACGAACCTGAAATATTCCTGTTTCTGGGTTAATTTCCTGGTTTCTGCTTTGACATGTGCTGGTTCTCATTTCTATCCCAGTAAAAAAGGAAATAAAAGACCGAAATTGCATTAAACACGGATACCTTCTGCTTCCCCCTCTCGGTTTCATTCGCTCATCGGAACCGCCCGCAATTAAACCACCTTGTTCTTCCGGACCGTGTTCCGGGTTCGGTTCTCCACTTGTTTGCCAACAGTCCAGTACACTGATAGATTCAGTTCAAGCAGCAAAAGACGCGATGGACAGAGGCCAACGCTGCGAACGCAATATTATGTATTTCCGCCGGATGTTCGTTCAACCGCGTCCGACCAGGAACAGTGACTGGCTCTTGAGTTCCGCCTCCAGCTGGAAACTTTCCAGAGAGCGTTAACTCCGTTTTTGCTTCTGTTTCAAACATAACGTGTAATCTAAATGGTTTTTATTTACAACTAAGAGTGGAACTTTACTACTACAGCAAGAAAATAGTTTTAGAAGTTTAAAACCAGAGAAAATGACCAGAGATGGACAAGAACTGGCTGCACTTGAGAACTTTTTAAGAATATATATATAAACGTATGTTTTTTTTTTATTCTCGAATAACATTATTGTAAGACAACATCATTTTTACTGGAGTATCATTTCTGGACCCTGAACTCGGTACAAGTAAGGACATAATAAGCAACACGCAGAGAGACTCATGAATGTTACAATGACATCTTTTGTGTTTTTTTTTGTCCTCTGACCCTGATGAGACATGACATACAGTAAACAAATATTTTATGTCACCACGTGAAGTGCTTTATTTTAGCATGTGTAGATTATTTACTGTAAGTATTGGAAATGTATTTCTTCTGCTCGTCTGTATTGTTACACTGTGTGATTTATTTTCTTCATTATTTTGAGATCTGAACTCTGCTAAAAAATTATATTATATAAATGATATTTATATATTTTAATAATCATTAAATCTATCCTTAAATAATTTATTGTTGTCGCTTTTGTGCTAATCTGGCTGGAGTCAGCTGTGGTAAATCCTCTGCAGCATGTAGAACCTTTCCTAGCCAGCAGAGGGAGCCCGCCTGTGTTCAGAGAACCGGTCATCTCTAAACTTTATTTATGATCCAAACTATCATTTATTTATTGTGTAATCCGCTGCCACGCAGTTTAAGTCAATTTGAGGTTGAAATTGATTATCGGATCTGATCGGAGCATCTGGAGAAAACAGCAGGGGGCGATGTGGTTCCACGAAGTCACTCCCTGAGATGTTCTGGTCATTTATTAGAGAACTGATTGTTGGAACAGAAAGTCATGAATGACTGTTTTCTGTCTGGTTTATCACTTTTCATGTCAGGCAACACAAACCTGGACAGGTTTTGACTCGGGCAACAACTAATTACTTTTACTCAATTACTTTTAGTTTAGTAACTTTTTGAAAAAATGT